ACACTGTGTACATGAGAAAACTCAATGCCTTAAGGACAGCCAATATTTCCAAGCAGTATTTTTCCAAGTAAAGCTTGAGCTTCACCTGCATCAAAATTACCAAGACTGTGTATTAAAATATAGTTTCTTAACCCCTACTTGAAACCTACTGAATCAGTATGCCTGAAGATGAGGCCCAGGAATCTGCATTTTAGAAAACTTGGGTGTACTAAATTTTGAGAACCTTTGCTTTAGAGAAGTAGGTCATAACCTGAATTGCACCTGAGAATCGCTTTGGACTATTTTTAAAATATTCATATGCCCAGGCCATACCTCAGACCAATAAAATCAGAATTTCTGGCAAAGCACCTATGCATCAGTGTTTTTATTTTATTTTTTCAAAGATTTTATTTATTTATTCATGAGAAACACAGAGAGAGGCAGAGACACAGGCAGAGGGAGAAGCAGGCTCCATGCAGGAAGCCCGATGCGGGACTTGATCCTGGGACTCCAGGATCACGCCCTGAGCCAAAGGTAGATGCTCAACCGCTGAGCCACCCAGGTGTCCCAAGCATCAGTGTTTTTAAAGTTCTCCAGTAATTCCAATGTGCAGTCAAGGCTGAGGACCGTTGCCTGGGTGAAGGTGCCCATATTCATTTGAACATTTACTTCTAGGGCTCATCTAGTAGAGACTGGACTTTATTTTGATTAAGGCAGGAATAGCTTCCTTACATAAAGGTTATAACTCATTCATTTGGTATCCCCACGTCCTATCTGATACATACAGGGCCTTGGCCCTCCATTTTCTGAAATAAATCCAACTAAATAAAATTGTATGAAATGAATCAATGTGAATGAATCAATGTGCAGGTGAATAAAATTTTCACCAAACTCTAAAAATTCTATTGGATTCGGCAAACTTCTATGGCACCCAGGCTCAATGTTACACTATGAGAGGTATACAGATGAGCAAACACTTCTCTTCCAGCATTTGTGATCTGCTGGAGGAGGCAGATATGAACAAAAGCAGGCAATGGGAGTGCATAGAATATAAAAAGGGAAAATAAGAAAAATTAGCTCTGAATGACAGAACCTGGAAGGTATCCTTAAAGATTCTGTATCTGAGATTGGCCTTGAAATATTGCTGAGACTTGCCCAGGAAGAAATTAGGGAAATGGGCAGTTGCCCTAAAAGCACAGGGCAGTTCTGACAGCAGAAGCTAGGTCAGACAGGCCAGGCCTTTCTCTATAGGGCACGGAAGATTGTAGGGCAGATATGAAAGGCTCCTTTTCTTTCCAATTTCCTTGTTACTGCTCTCATTTGTCAAATATTTTGCCTCTGGTTTATTAATTCTACCTCCTGGTGCCTCAGTTGATTTCTTCCAGGAGAAATTTCTCATTAGCATTTCTATGGGGAGCACCTGCCACCCCATCTAGCCCTATTAACTGATGTCTAGGGCAATGGCACTGTCTGAGAGGGGAATTTTAATCCCTTCCTCATGACTCATCTCTTTTCTAATTGAGAATTCGAGGTCTAAAGTCACAAGTGGCTGCCCAGCGAAATCCAACCTTAACATTAAAAGTGATAACAGAGACATGCTTCTCAACTTTATTACATCATCTATGTAATATGAGTGTACTAAAAATTAATCAACTTCATGATCGTGAATAACGAAAGAGATTGAGATAGCACTTAATGCAAAATCCTAAGCTAATGTGGATACATTATGAATTACACAAATTGGGAAGGTTTCTCAAAATCATAGCGTCAAAGGACATTTGAGATTATCTACTGACTATATTGTAGGAGAAAAACCAATTAGTATGTATATGACTCTGCATGCTGAATGTGTATTTTACATTATATACCAATATGTTAAGCTGATGGATTATGTGCCCTTTATTTAAGCAAACTGCTCCCATTGATGTCATGTGACAGATGTCACTTGGAAAGCCCATGAGATGAACCAATCACCATGGTGTAAGCCACCATGATTTATGCAGAGTGGCAGAAGAAAAGGGTTTGTAAATCAAATCATCTTTGAAATGGAACCCAACCTGGCTTCTAATAAGGGAATGTAAGACTCATCTCTGCCAGCCATGGTATACTTAGATTTAGGAGATATTCCGAATCACAGCAAGGGAAAGAATATGAGATAACAGGGAAGGAAAATCAATGTTCCAGATAAGCCTACAATTTCCAGGCATTTTTTTTTCTTTATGGGATATTTGATTAATTGATTATCTAATTTCTTCATGTCTACCTTCACCCAAAGTGCATTTCCCTATTATTGGTTAATTTTTCTTCTGAAACAAAAAACAATGTTAAATTTCACATAAACTTTGTCATGCACTTAAATTGTCCATTAAGGAAATTGATGTCTCTTAGCAACTCATTCTCTTAATGCTTCCAAACCTTTCTGATTATACAGCAAAATGGAACTGCTGGCCCCAAAGTCACATGCATAATTAAATTTTACAGAAGACCCAAATGGGAAAAAAAATTATTTTAAGGCGCTCAGAGAATTTTTTCTTTGACAGGTTGGTGGAGTTCTGATAGCCACTAAAAATAATCATTCTCACCAGCTGCAACAGCGGAGCCTTCCCCCAATCAATCCCATCACTTGCAGTATGAGTATAATTCTAACTGTAACACCTGACTTCATACTGTACAGTTAAGGTGGTGTTTTCGGGGAAGAGGCCATACGGAACAAAGATGTAAGCCAATATATTTGGAGTGGGTTGTATCCGAAGGGTAGGTCATCCCTTGACTGTCTAGCCAATTTCTCACGGACAAAGCAAGTCCTACTGACTTGGAAACATAAACTGCGTAGGACGACCAAAGGAGATTTGAGAATTTGGGATCTCTCTTGATTGGCATGGATTCTGTGGAGGTGAGGAAGGGTAGTACCCTTCATTGTTGAATGTTAAGGTTCCACCTGCCACAGGGTAGTAGAATGGGAGCAGGAAGACGAGGAAGCCAGATTAGAAATCTGCAATGTTGGGCCATCTTAGGGTTCTCTGGGAATGAAGTAGGGCCTGCCTTGTAAACAAGAAAGTCATGGTGGAATCACAAAACTACATCTTGGCTTTGTTTTTTATGCCCCTTCCTTATTTGTTTCCTTCTTTTCTTTTTGATCTTCCTTTGGTAGTCGCATAAAGATAACATGAAAATTCCACTCCTGATGGCTGTGAACCAAGGAAAAGGATCTTGCCTGACCCAAAGCCAAAAAAAAAAAAAAAGAAAAAAGAAAAAAGAAAAAAAAGAAAAAGAAAAGAAAAAAGGAGTGCACTCCTAAGGGGGACCACTGTGGTCATGATAACAATAAACCAAGGGAGAAATGCCAGGTGGGAGGTAGAATTCAGGACGATGGAGTAGGAGCCAAATATTTGCTGCTCCTTCTCATTGGGAAATTCTTTCTAGAGTCAAAACCTGGGAGACAGATGAATTTTTGCCTTAAAAAGAGAGGATATCTATCTCTGCTATGCTTCCCTCAGCATATGAGGGAGTGGTTGTTATGTTCACTGGAGAAAGACATCAGTCTGATAGGAGGCTACATATAGGGTTTTGGCAAAAGACACTAACTCTGCAGTCCTCCCAACCACAGTCTCCTGCAGGAAGGAGACAACTGGCTCTGGCATTGATGAAGGACCCCATTTTGAACACCTCTGGCTCAATTATTCATCATGCACATCCTTTTCCCCAGAGACCCTAAAACCCAATGTTACATGCTCTGAGTCAAATGTGATCTCTCAGCTGCTTAATCTGGGTTGAAACATAAGGAGAGGATGGAGAGCTAAGCATTCAAAAATGGTACTGGATGTACAAAGGGTGAGAAAGCAATTTGGAAGGGCTGAGGCTGCAGCACAGGGAGAATTCTAGAAGGATGGAGAGAGGGAGAGGGAAAGGAAGAGGGAGGGAGGGAGAGAGGTAGGGAGGGAGAGAGCAAGAGAGAAAATGGATATGTGCTTTCTTGAAGGCATTCATTTACAGGGAATTTAAACGCTAAAGAGGGGGTTCTTGGTGGTAACAGAATGAGCAACACAACTGAAGAACATAAAGGGAAAGGAGAAAGGAAATGCATCAACGGGGAGAAGGCTGGAGGTTTCTAGGAAGTGGAAATCAGAACAATGAGGCATCAGACACAAGACCGTAATGGCGCTAAGGCATTCTAATCACCTACTATGTGCCGGGCACAATTCGCCTCGGCCATCTCATGTAACCTCACAATGTCTAGTGCAGCGCCTGGCATATAGTAGGTGTTCAAAAATATGTCAAAGTTTAATATTTGATTAATAAATGAATAAGCAATTCTAGGAGAACAATCTATTATCAATCACATTTTGCACATAAGAATCTGAGGCCCGGAAAAGTCAAGAAACGTGCTCAGTGTGTCACAGCTACCAGGAGGAGGAATAGATCTGACTTCAAAGCCTGATGGTAGATGGAGGAGGGTGATCTCTAAGAGCCCTGTGGGGAATCGAGAAAAGGGTGTGGTGCTTGGATGTTTCCCAGGGACCAAGAGAGGGAGGGAAGGATGAAAGGCCAAGTGAGCCTGGCTGGGGAGGAGGGGGCCGGCCACTTCTTCTAGGAGGATGGGGCCCTTCGGAAAGGCCGATGGCGGGTGGGCAAGAGCTGAGCCAGCGAGTGGTGGCCTCCAGGCCAATGCAGCTAGTGAGGTGGGTGGGGCGCAATGGCACAGCCTGCAAGAAACTGCAAAGGGTCTCTGCTGAGCAGGTGGGGATGTGAGGTGGGACGGGGTCGGGGGGAGGGGGAGAGGGGCTAAGGTGGTAAAGGGAACGCCCTGGGCCGGCCGGGATGCCTAGAACCGACAGCTTTCACTTAAGAGCGAGCAGAAAGAAGTCCGCCCGGGAGGTAGCAGGGGCGCGGCGGGGGAGAGGGTGTGGCCTGGGAGGGAGGGGCCCCGGGGCGCCTGCGGCGCGCAGAGCCGGCGCGGGGCAGCCTCAGCCGAAGCGGAAGCGTGGCCGGCCCGGGCGCCCGAGCTGCGGCCCGAGTCTCACCTGTAGGAGCTGCCCGCCGCACTCGCCACCTCCTCGCGGATTTGCCTGTTGAGGGCGTCCGCCGCTGCACGCCCCTTGCCCGCCTCGGGGGCCGCGGCCTGGACCGGGGCCTGGGCCTGGGCCTGGGCTGCCGGCAGCGGCGTCGGCTCCGGCCCCTGCCCCTCGGCGCGGCGCAGCATCCAGGCGGGCCCGGGCTTCCTGCGTGTGTCGCGCTCGTCCCCACCCGAGGGCTTTCCCGCCGCGGGGCCCCCAGCGCCGCCAGGGGTCGCCTCCTGCTCCGGGGCCTCGGCGGCGGCCTGCGCGGGCCAGCGCTCCTGGCTCTGCGGCCGGCGCTTGGACGCCGCGAGAATGGGCCCCGACGCCTGGGAGGACGTGGGGATCTGCACGGGCTTGGGGATCCACGGGTGGTCCCCGCGGCGCGGCAGCGGCCAGGCGCGGAAGTCCTTCTGGTACTGGGTCTCGCGCTCGAAGGGCGCGTCGGAGGGCTGGTACTCGCTGCGCGGCCGGCAGCTCGGCTCGGGCCGCTGCACCTTCCAGGCGCGGTAGTCCTGACGCATCACCGAGTCCGCGGGGCCCGCGCTCGAGGTGGAGCCGGAGCCGGAGCCGGAGCCGGAGCCCGGGCCGGGGCCGGGGCCGGGGCCGGCCGCGCTCCGGCCGGGGGGCGCCGCCGCCTCGCGATCGCCGCTAGGCCCGGGCGCCGGCCCCGTTGCCCGGGCAACTGCATCCAACTCGCCCTGGGCCGGCTGCGTCTCTATGGCGACCGCCCGCGCCGAGGGGGGCGCGTGCGCCGGCTGCGCCTGCTGCGGCGGCTGCGGCGGCTGCGGCGGGGCGCTCGGGGCCTCGGTGGCCTCCGAGTACTTGGTGAAAACCAGCGGCACGGCGATGTCCGCCTTGTCCAGCTGGTTCCAGAAGCGGGCGATGCAGCAGGCCCGCGTGATGCACGGCCACGCCATGATGCGGGCTGCAAAGCTGGCCCTCCCTCTTTCTTTTTTGTGGTTCTAAAGCAAGTCTCTAACCTCACTTCAGTCCCTCGGCACTCGACCAGCCGATCCGGCTCCCACAGCCTTTCCCTCGGTGGCCTGAGCTACCTCCTCTTCTCCCTCAGAGAGCACCCGGGAAGGTCAAGCTATCACCGGGACAAAAGTCCGTAAAGTCCCCCGATTGATTACCGGCTGCAGACGCCTCCGGAAGCCGCCTGCAAAGGTCTTGGGAGCGCAGTCTGCTGCGGCAGCGATGGGCGAGACGCACAGCGTCCCGGGGTCCCCGGGCGAGGGCGTCTGGGTCGCGCCCCTCCCTGCGGCGGCGGTGGCGGCGGCGGCGGCAGACCCCGGCCAAGCGAGGCGACGCGAGGCGAGGCGAGGTGGCTGCGGGCTTAAGCCATGGCGTGGAGGAAGGGCCGAGCAGGGTGGCCTCAGGGGCCACGGACGAGGCTCTGTTCCCCCTCTCCGAGGCGTCCCGTCGCAGCCAGCCACCGAGAAAGGGCTCGGAGGCGATCACCTCCAGCGGACACCGAGCATTGCGGCGGCCGCTTCTCCCGATGGTGCTGCAGCCACTGCCGCTCCGTGTCTGCTGCAGGGAAGCGGCCCCACCCTTATCTACTGCTCGGCAGGGAAAAAAAAAAAAAAAAAAAATCCAGGGAAGACGCCGAGAGAGAAAGCGCGCTGCAGAAAAAAATCACCTGCTGTCGTCAGCGCGCGCTGCCGGGAGCTCGCTCTCGCTCTTTCCCTCCCCCCTGCGCTCTGGGAGCTCCTCCCTCCTCGGCTCCTAGGCAACAGCGGAATCTGGGGCCTCGGTGGGTTCAAGTCCCAGGCTGGGGACGACTTGCCGTCCTTACACTGGTCCCTTCCCCTCCAGGAGCCTCAGGCTCTTTTGTAAAATAGGGCCAGTCATGGAGGAGGGGAGATTCAATTTTTATTTTTTATTTTTTTATTTATGATAGTCACACACACAGAGAGAGAGGCAGAGACACAGGCAGAGGGAGAAGCAGGCTCCATGCACCGGGAGCCCGACGTGGGATTCGATCCCGGGTCTCCAGGATCCCGCCCTGGGCCAAAGGCAGGCACCAAACCACTGCGCCACCCAGGGATCCCGGGAGATTCAATTTTTAAAATATGAAAGATACCCCTAGTGAAATGTCTGTCCCGGAATAGATGCTTTTTAAAAAGAAAGCTGGTGTTATTGGCCAGTTCCTGGGGCGGGATTTGAACTCCAGTTTGGCTGGCTCCTGATCCAAGCACTTGTCAGTCATGCAAGAACCTTGCTCAGAGGTGTAGGGATGTGAATCCCCAGGCTGGGGGTGCCCTAGCTGTTCCTTTACGAGAGGACCTTTCCGGGAAGGGTGTCTTAGTGCCTCCCAAGAACTACCCAGTCCCTAGTCAGCTCAGGGGCCATACGTGGGAGAGACAGGGGAAAGAAAATTCTTGGAAGGGGCCTAAGTGTAAAAGTTGAGGGTGGAAAGGAAGTAAGGGGACAGTGTCCTAGGACAGGGTAGGGCCTAATGCAGAGACCTATTGCCCTGTTCCTGATCCTTGGCTTTTGTTCTTCCTCTACCTAAGAGGCACAGTAGACTTTGGAGTCAGGCAAACTTGATTTGGCTCTGACACTTACTTCTGTGTCACTTGGGCAAGTTGGGTCATCCCTGGGCCTCAGTAGCCTCATTTGTAGAATGGGAGAAATAAGAGCAATCTCAAAATGGTTTTGTGAAGATAGTTAAGGACTCAGAGCAGAATCTTTGAGTCAAATTGAATCCACAGTGATTCAAATTCTGACTTTTACATTCCTTAGCTGTAGGGCCACAGACCTACCACTGCACCTTTCTGATCTTTACTTTTAGCTGTGAACAGGGGGTACCAATTCTGAACTTGCAAGGTTTTTTTGAGAATTAAAATGAGATAATGCACTAAAAATACTTACTACCACATCTGGCATATAGCAACGGTTCGATGAATGGTAGCTATTAGTATTCAAAGGACCCACCCAGGAAAGCCTACGTGGAGCTTCCCAAGCAAGAGAGCCACTTGGACACCTTCTCTAAGAAGACCTCTTATTTTTCCAAGTGCCTTTTGGCCTTGTCTTGATGTCCCTCCATTTATGTTTCCTGCACTGTCTTCTACTCTCCATCCCTAGCAAGATTCACTGACCTTCAGGTCTGTTTCTCTCCAAGAGAGTCAGAGTTTTCAGCATCAAGTAAGCTGGAGGCATTGGTGTTTCTGGGGAAGAAAGTCATTTATGTGTTTAGATTGGGAACTGACGGCAAAACACCGCTGGGTTTTGTTGTTGTTGTTGTTGTTTTAACCTTTGAATCAAACAGGATGAGAAGACAACTCTGATTAATACATTATCTGTTGAACTTCCTCCTACTTGGGTCTTTGTTTTTTTATTATTTGATTTGAGTTCCACAAATAAAATGATGCTTGGCACTGTTTTCCCATCGCTAGGAGATACAGTTCTAAAAACAACATAATCTGGTCTGACCCTCAATTCTGCAGGACTCCATGGGATTTGGCTGACAGCTTTCCAATAATGATTTTCAAGGCAACTAGAAATGAGAAGGAGAAACTGAGAGTCGTTGAGACTTTACCTTTGTTTCAGGCAGCAAGTCTAGTCCTGATGCCCACTTGGTACTCTGGACACTGTGGAATACAAACGAATCCTAGCACTCAGGGAGCCCTCAATTAGAGAGGGTATGTTATGGAGAACCCGGAGACAAACAAATACTTAGCAAGCAGTATGGTCAGTGTATCAGTGGTTCATTCTCAAGGTGCTAAATGACTAAGGAGAGATGAGTAAGAACCCCTCCTATCAGAAGTGTAAGAGTGTTCCAGGCAACATCATTATCTATATCACCTTCCATATTCATTAATTTAGATTTTTTAAATAAGTATTTTATTTATTTATTCATAAGAAACACACAGAGGAAAAAAAAACACAGAGAGAGATAGGCAGAGACATATGCAGAAGGAGAAGCAGGCTTCCTACAGGGAGCCTGATGTGGGACTCCATCCCAGGACCCCGGAGATCATGACCTGAGCCAAAGGCAGATGCTCAACCACTGAGCCACCCAGGTGCCCCATTCATTTGGATTTTTAAAACACATTCAATGGTACAATCTTCTTGAACCACTGAATGGCCTGATAGGATAGATAAATCTTTTTTAAAAAAGATTTTATTTATTTATTTGATAGGGAGAGAGAGAGAGCACTAGCACAAGTAGGCAGAAGGAGAGGGAGAAGCAGGCCCTTCACCGAGCAGAGATCCCGATGTGGGGCTTGATCCCAGGACCCTGGGATCATGACCTGAGCTGAAGACAGATGCTTAACCAACAGAGCCACCCAGGCACTCCAATACAGATAAATCTAATGGTTATTTGTTAACATGGCTTGCTTAGCATCCATTCTGATGATGACAGTGCCTCCTTATTTGACTTTTGGGGAACATTCCTTTCTGACTTCAAGTTCATATGATTTGGATGGGATTAATCCACCTTCCAGAGTTGACTATGTGACCCAGACCTACTTACCAAAGTACTGCAACCCCTGACTGCCTAACAGTCTCAGACCACTTGACTCTTCTCGAATGTTATGTGAGAAAGAAGTAACACTTCTCTCTTGTTTGGACCACTGCTTCGAAGGTCTCTAATATATATATATATATATATATATATATATATATATATATATATATAAATTAGTCATTTGTACATTTGGATCTGGCCATGCTTAAACTAACTTGAGGGATATGAAAACAGCATAGAAGTAAAATACAGGAAAATAATATCATGTCTGATGGGAGGGAGTGATCAGATTTCAAGTATTCTAGGGTCGTTATTTCCTTGTAATCAGTAGAGGTACTGATTAACTTATTAGCCTAAAATGTTTATCAGCTTAAAAATACACATTAGAAGAAAGAAAAAGGAACATAGAAAACTTCATTAGGGCCAGAAAAAGGGTAAAAATAAGCAAAGAGAAACATGGCAAATAGCAAAAACAATATAAAGTGCAGAAATATTTACAAATAAAAAAAAGAAATATTTACAAATATATCAGTGATTGAGGGTAAATGTAAATAATCAGAACTCTCTGGTTAAAAGACAGAGAATGTAATATTGGAAAAAAAACACAAAACAAAGCAAAATGCAAACATACATTGTTTTCATTAAAACATATTGACACATATGGGGTGCCTGGGTGGCTCAGTTGGTTAAGCTTTGGACTCTTGGTTTTGGCTCAGGTCATGATCTTAGGGTCCTGAGATCCTAAGCCCCTGACCCTCTTGCACCTGCATCACTAAGCAAGGAGTCTGTTTGAAATTCTCTCACTCTTCCTCTGCCCCTCCCACTGCTTGCGCTCACACAAATTTATTTGAGAGAGAGAGTGTGTGAGCCAGAGAGAGAACATGAACAGAGAGGAGGAGCAGTGGGAGAAGCAGGCTCTCCATGAGCAGGGAGCCGGATGTGGGGCTCCATCCCAGGACCCTGGGATCACAACCTGAGCCAAAGGCAGATGCCTAATAGACTGAACCACCCAGGCGCCCAAATAAATAAATCTTTTAAAAAAAGACATTTGACACATAAACATGGGTAGGGGGACATGATAGGAAAAGACATGGTAGAAAATAAAATAACCAAAAGAAAGCTCTGTACAATTACATCGCTATCAGGCAAAATTGGTCTTAAAACAAAAAGCATTACTGAAAATAAAAATGGTCATTACAGTGGCACCTGGCTGGCTCAGTATGTGGAGTGAGCAACTCTTGACCTCGGGGTCATAAGTTTGACCCCCATGTTGAGTGTAGAGATTACTTAAAAAAATTTTTTTATAAGTGGTCATCACATAAAAATAGAAGAAACAATTCATCAGAAATATATAACATAGTTTGCATCTAACAATATAGCTTCAAAACATATAAAGCAGGGGATCCCTGGGTGGCTCAGCAGTTAAGTGCCTGCTTTCAGCCCAGGGCATGATTCTGGAGTCCTGGGATCGAATACTACATCAAGCTCCCTGCATGGAGCCTGCTTCTCCCTCTGCCTGTGTCTCTGCCTCTCTCTCTCTCTCTGTGAATCTTAAAAAAAACATATAAAGCAAAACTTGGTAGAATTTTAAGAAGAAATCATAAATTCACCCTCATTATTGGAGAGATTTTTTTTAACATGTCTAAATAACTGGTAAAACAAACACAT